TCTCAGCCGTCCGATCACGCGCACGCGGATCCCTTCCGCGTGGCCTCCCGCGTCAGCATCTTTGCCACCTAGCGCATCCTGGTTGGTCGGGGCTGCTGACCGGGCAGCTGATGTGGCGTAACTTTTTTAAATTATGTTTTGACTCCCGGTTTCTGATTTTTCTTTCAAAAATACCCACAGAACCCAAATTTTCATCCCGTTTTTCCAAAATTATTTTTAATTAAATTCCTAACTAATTTTTTACCCCTTATTATTATTATTATTATTATTATTATTATTATCATTAAAATAAATTAAATTAAATTCAATTCAATTAATACATATTTATATTTATATAGAATTAATAAAAATAATAAAAATAATTGGGTGTTACGTTGATGTTTTGAAATGTCATACTATCTACTACGCCTCTTAACGGGTCCTGAATTTTTTGAATTTTTCATACAAAAATCCAAAATAGTCATTACGTACCCAAAAATACCCCAAAACATCAAAATCGGTGTTGAAAATCCTTTCTGTCTAATTTTAGGGTTCCGGCATAGCGGCGATACCATGCTTTGGTGTTGGCTCCACCATCCACGATAGCAGTTTGTTTCGGCCTGGCCGGTGTTGGTTTTACACGTATGTCTGTAAAAAAATACATTAGGGGGTCTTGATTAGTCAGAAAATCACAAAAAATTGAACTTACTGGCGGGAGGGGGAGGGGAAGGGATCTCTGGGTGCGGCGGCTTCGTCGGTTCTCCTTCGCGGCTGGAGTTTCTTCTTCGGCTAACCTGCATGAAAATAGACGGTGAACACAATGATCGAAAAATTGTGTGAAACGAGAAGCAGGTAGGGTCTCATCGAAGAGGTCTTTGGGTTTCGGTTGCAGCGGCTCCGCTGAGCTTTGCCCAAGGTTTTCGGCTCACCCACCATTCCTTTTACTCCGATATGGCCACAGGTAGACTCACAATTAAATTCTAAGCAGGTAGGGGAGAATTTTATCTTTTTTGACGGTCGGCAGTGGTTCTGGTGCGACGGCAGCTAAGGGTTGGTCTCCTTCTCCGGTGGCTGGTCCTTCTTCTCCGGCGAGAGCAAGTGGGGCTAGGGTTAAAATTCCCCTACGACGTGATGTTTATATACTTATTCCGTATTGAGTTGGACTGTCCATTCGCGTCGAAGTGGAGTGAGGAGAGT